GGAGGATCCAAAAGAGCTACGGATCCTAATTGGTCTTTGGAAACTTACCAGATCCGAAGTGCGATAGCTAAGAAGGGTCAGCCCATCTTGTATTATCTTTATGATGGTCCCACGCGTGGGTTCGTCAAAGAAGAACTGCTTATCGTGTGATTACCAAAGCGTGCGTATGGATACCATCGTCGCACATCCACCTCTTACCATCAAATGCTGACAGCGACACCTTCTCTTGGGTGACGTTGTGTATTTGATGTTTAAAGGACCGCAGGGAGTTCATCCGATGCTTCTGCGTCTTCTGCGTGCGTAGGACGTCAATGTAGGACTGATGGGTGATGTCCTTCTTGACTACGTATTTTTTTACGCCCTTGGCTTTCTTGTCTGCGCCGTCTGTCTTTAGGACGCTGTACATTTTGGGTTTGAGACCCACGTATTCCAMGATGGGCTTGCCCAGCATCTCATCTTTCATCTTCCCGATGACCTTCTTGTTCTTCGCAGAGTACAGGGGATGGTCGCGTGGGTAGCCCGAGGTGTCGTACTCGTCAATGTCTTCGAGGCAGTCCGCGTAGACGTCGGGGGTTTCTATCTCCATTATTAGGGAGTCGGTATCGGTGTATAGAAGGCGGCATTTATCGCCGTACTTTGGTTTAAGTTTGTCGTAGTAAAACTCGTACATCAGAAGCTTAGACAGCTCCAGCACGGTAAAGCCGGTGTATACAGGCTTGTTGAGGAATAGGTTTGCCTTCTTCATGTGTATTACGAAGAAGTTTAGCATGTCTACGTAGCGTACGAAGCCTGGCTGAGATACGTAGGCCTCTGCTTCCTCCCGCGTATTTACGATCTTTATGGAAACGCGCTTGCGAATGTTCTCCATGGTCTTACCAAATACGGAGTTGTTCATTAACTTAAAGAGRTTCTTCTCAAAGTCGTTCTTTGCCGCGGTTCGCTTTTGCGTGTTAAAGTCGATATACGGCTGCATCCAGGGCTCTTGGCGGAACTTCAACGCGCGGTGGACCTTTGTCACACGCATTCCGTGGCGCACGTAGAATTGTAAGTTGCGGTAATGAACTACGTACTTTTTTTGTTCATTAAGTTCATAGTAAGCTTGCGGTATGGCTTGTACGTGGGGCAAAGTTTCTTCTGTAACGGGGGAAGTTGTTCAAAGGGTATCTCAATTGCCTCGGGCGCTAATGGGTAATCGTCGTGAAGGTCGTGAAGGTGTTCTGGGTATTCCAAATCCACCTCAAGAATAAAGCCTTTGCGGCTGTCGGGTCTTATTTGCATGTAAAACTCCGGTTCGCGTGGCTCAGTCCATTCAAAGTCGCGCACTGGAAGATATTGGGACATCGCCCAACCATAGAGGTTGTTCGCGTCTAGATAGAAAACGTAAGTGCTAGGTTTTTCGGGGTCGTGCCCCTCTACTTGCGGATTATTAGCGTGTGCATAACGCCTTGATGGCCCACAAACCCCACCGCGAATTCCGTCCTCCATAAATCTGTACATCTCGTAATCTGTTAAGAGGTCTAATTGGGCGTTCGTGCTCTTTAACAGGGCACTCCAAGATAACCCAGGGGCGGTGTAGAAGTTTGCTGGGTCTAATCCATAGTAAGACATCGCCATCTTCCGAAAGCTTTGAAATACGTCGGCTAATAAGACTACATCCGAGAGTAGGTAGACGTCGTGGTAATCTCCCATGTATTTGCAGTCGTGCTTCTTCCAAACCTTCTTTGCGTGCTCGTACTCTTCGTCTGATATTCCAGCCTCGTTTAGGGAACTGTAAAACTCTTCCTTTGGTGGAAGGGGTTCTTGAAATCGCTCCCAGGAATCCATGTATTCGTAGGGGTAAACTCCCTTGCGCTCTGCCTCGTAAAGGTCTGAAATTGGTGAATCTTCGTTATACTTAGCTAGGTTCGCTAATGAGTCTGCCATGAATTGTTGGGAATCTAAGAACTTTAACTTACCAATTGTCACAGACATGTACCGCTCCTTGTTATTTGGTATGCACTTAACTTCGTGGCCGTCAACGCCTTGTAAGAGGAGGTGGGAATCGTATCCGCGAAGGTTGTGAAAGAATACTGGGATATCCATGTTTGGGTCAATCTTGTTGCGGCATCTCCAATACGTTGCACCTTTGTACGCCCCGGTTAGTTCGCAGTGGTCTAAGACTTTATCTACGTAGAAGTCTTCCTCAAAAGGCTTTTTACAGTGAATGCAGTGCGTGGTTGGCTTTCCGGCCTTCTCACCCTTGCGTGCGTACTTCCCGCACTTGGGGTGTGCTTCACCAAGGTAGGCGCCGTCGTCTGACCAGCACTTCGTAACTCTCCGTCCAAATTGCAGGAGATTATGCTTGCATACGTGGCACGTCATTGACTTTGCGTATGCGGCTTGTTCAGCTTTGGACAGCTTCGGTTGCTTCGTGGTGCGTAAGCGCTGCCTAATGTCCTCTTCCTCCTCCTTAATGGCTTCTAGAAAGAGTGCGGCTGCATTCTTACCACGGTATATGACTGGGTCGTCTGCCTTGCCGTCGCTGCGCACTACAATGTAACCGTAAGAGCAAATCTCGTGAAGGCCTTTACGCTGCGTATTGCCTGATTCTTGGTATTCGTCTGTAATTATTGCCTCGAAATCTGCGTAAATGACGTAGGGAACTTTGCTTTGTCGCTTGAAATCCTCGTAGAATAAGTCTTTATCTGCTGGCATTTGAATACGCTGTGCAACTTCCTCTACGCCAAGGCAGATTTCGTCGTGCTTCTTTAAGGCTTTTAAGTCGGGAAAGGGAAGCAGGCAGGACTCGCAGAAGAACTTCTTACACTTATGCTTGGTATGTCTGTAAAATAATCGACTTAGGTTCTTAACCCAGGAATAATGACCACCTTGCTAAGATAGGTGAATGCGCTCTCCGGGGTGCTTTGACAACATTAAGGGTACAATGGTCTCTTCCCGGTCTCCATAAACGTTTTATCGCTAGGTCGTTGCGCTCCTCAAAGTCTGGTATACAACTTAACTGCATTGGAAAGGAAACGTCAGTCCAATCTAGGTCGTCTGTTGGGTAATTACTCGTGCGCGCTGTGTTTTTCTCAACTGGGTATAAGGCAGACCTRATTGCCCACTGGAAGCATTTATTGTCGTCATTCTTAACACTTATAATTGCTTTCTTTCGCTCTATCCAGGCTGGTAAAGGTACGTAAGACCCACCTCGAATTGGTACGTACCGCGCCATGCTTATTTTCATCTCCACTATTTCGGTTACTGCCCATCCCGATCCTTCTCTGGTGTAGTTTGAGAGTGTCTCTAACATACCCTCGAGGACGGTCGACAAAAT